ATTTTTTTATAACAGATTCTATTTTTTCATAATTATAATTTTTGGATAAGAAACACATTTTAAAATGACTAATATATCGCAACTCTTCTATCTGACAGGTTCAATTAAGTACGTTCGTAACTCAAATAAGTTGGTAGAGCGTGAATATAACAATTATTGTACCAAACAAAAAATTTCTATTAGCGATTTGGATTAAAGCGTTTGTTAAAGTCTGGTACCTCGTAATCTTGTTATATTTAAGATATTTACAAATTTGTAGACATCGTTTTTATTCGATTCGGCGTAATAATAATATTTGAGCTATTTAGCATTAGTTTTAGAAATATCCGGACAGATGGACAATTGAAGTCTTGTCCCGGTTATAGTAATAAATGCTATATTTTAGATACCTATATCTTTTGAATGTCATAGAGATCTTCTGCTGCATAATTTGATACATTTTTCAGATAGATGTTCTTCTCTTTTGCTTTTGCGTGCCACATTTATAGATAAGGACCAAGTTTACTTTCTTTTTGGAAAGCAGATCGTTAATTTTATTGAAATTCAAAATCCAATTCAACTGAAATGCCTCGAGCATAAAATTCTCTTAGCTTATCATCTTATGTCTCCCTGCACTCTTCGCATTTCTTTTGTAATACAATTTTTTAAAATAACAATTTTCTTTAATACATATTCAATTAGGTCTAATTTTTTGAGCTCTGGTTGTCTCACATTCTCCTTTTATATCTCAGCCTGGGGATTTTCCTGCTGCGCTCGGCTAAGACTGTTCCTGACACATAACACACATGCTTATGAGCGTATGTGTGCATGTGTGTGTGTTTGTGTGTTTGTGTGTTCTCTGGTTTGGTTATTGAAAACATTTTGAAATCAATTTCCTCAGAATTGCTTTCGTTTTGTGTCTTATCAATGTAAATATATTGATTTGTTTTGTATTTTCTTAAAAGCACATTCATTTCGTATAAATATACAGTAAGCACCTTATTTCTCTTATTTTTATTTTTCCTCTCACTTATATATGCTTGAAAAATTTTTGAAACTACAAAACTACTAAAAGCCCTAGGACCTTCAATATATTGTGCAATATTTAACTCGTAGCGAATAAATCAAAAGAATCTGAACAAGCTTAATGGCCCAGAACAAAATGACTTAAAATATCTTGAAAATGAAACATTAATTTCGTCACAAGAATCGGGTACAGCAGATAAAGTATGTATCATATTTATAAACATGTTATTCTTGGTACTAAATATTAAAATATATATTGAATATAAACTGTTATATATCTATTTGACATATATTTTTCCATATAGAAAACGAAATTATCTAGAATATAAAGAAGAACGTGATGTTAAAAAAAAGTTTTATCCTTGTAATAGTATCACATTAAAGGCTATCATATAAAAGTTATTTAAGACATTCCATAAAAAATCGCAAGATTTATGCAAATATTTATTTTTGCGCTAAATACTCATGCCCAAACGAGCCAACAGATAGAAGGCATTCTCGGCACGATAACAACAAATTGCCGGCAGCATTTTGGTAACAAACACAATAAGGACGCCGAACAATACGAGCAACTACAACAATATGTTAGGCAGACAAGCAATTGCTCTTAATGTCGATGATTAAACTGAACGCTTAAACTGAGCCACTTAAACGCAGCTTGTGCGCCGCTTTGTTGCCTACTCTTAGGCCATTTAACCGACAAGCAGCTGAGCCAAGTTGGCCCTCGATTGCTCAAGCGTTGAAAAGAGTTTACACAAAACACAGAAATTGTTAAATGGAGCATGTGAGTAACGTGCGTCGCCTAGAATTGGCAAATTAATGCTCAAGTACTTTTTTCTTCCTCTTTTCTATTCCTCATTTTTTGTATCCAGAACCTACTGAAAGTGGATAGAAAGAGTATATTGGTTTTGTTGTAATTTATGTAACAGACAGAAAGAGGCGTATGCGAGCCCAATTAGTATATATATCTCTATATATATATATATTCTTGATCCGCCTGTCTGACCGTATTTATGAATGCGTTGATCTCAGAAACTATGGGAGTTTGATAACATTTTAGGTATGAGGCGAGGGGAAGAAGCTCGCTCAACTGATTGGGGGTAAGATTTCGACACCGGTAAAAGGTGACATATTTTTATTATAGTGCTAGCTATATATCTTTACCCAATAAAAAGGTACAAAAATGTAGTTTGTGGCGGCGGCGGTTTTGGAAGACGAAGGTATCTCCTAGTCGGGCACACCCGACTAGAGCACTCTTACTTGTTACTTTTCCGCTTCTATGCCGAAAAAGTTCCACCCAAGAAAACTTCTGCTGCGGAAGCCGTACAGTATTTTATTTAGTATTTTAACTTTTTTATTAAATTTGCCCACCAAGTTGGCCAAGTTCGTTGGCGCTTTTGTTTGCTACATAATGATGCTTTGTTTATTAAATAAATATTTGACGCAACTTTTGGGTATGCCGTCTTGATTGCCTGCGCGAAAGGTAGAGGTCACTGCATAAGAAGTACTAAACGTACATTTTTAAAAATATCATAATTTAATGACGGGCATAAAAACACAGTCATTATAAAATTTGTTAATTTAATGGCGGCAGAGAGTTGTTTGGAAGTTTCTTTTATTTGGTTAGCCCAATCGCAGTAAAAGTCATCCTTGTTGGCCATGTTTGAAGCGCGACGCTGTCGGGCAAATATTTTCCAAACAATGTTAAGATCAAATAATATACGGTTAACCTAACTTATATATCTTCTACTTACTATGACTCCTTCTTTGATTACCGATAAATTTAAATTTATTAAATAACTAATAAATAATACAAATCTCTTGCCAACCCATTTATTTATGGACCAATTGGGAAGGGGAAGGCTTGGATTTATATTTTTGGCCCACCATACTCTATATTATCCCCTAAATGGAACTCCATTGTTTGGGCAAACAAAGAGAAAACTGATTTGAATGGGTTGCCTCTCAAATTTCATAACATTGCAAATAGGCAGGTGCCTGGCTAGAGTTAAAGCAGTCGCAGCTGCGGCGCCTCAACTAAGTAATTAAAGCACAGGCGCTAGTCGGGGCCTACATATAGGCTATATACATATATACATATCTGTTTACAGTTGTTGTTAGGTGCGAATGTGTGTGCGGGCGATTCAAGCAAGACAAACCCCATTAAATAAAGCCGGCGCTCAACCACATCAAATTGCTATTGCGGCTGATGCGGTCGCCGTGCTGGCTGCTGGCTGCTGGCTTGGCACTGAGCTGTGTCTTCGAGTGGCTTAAATGACCGACACTCGGTTTCGAGAACGGTTCACATTACGCATACGCCACCAGACGCGTTACGCAAAGTTTTCCGGATTCGTTTCACTAGGAATATTTTTATGAGGGGCCAGGCGCCCGGCACGTGCCAACATGAATCGAGCGCCCTGAACAAATATGCAGTGAAATGCAATGCGAAAATTTGCAGAGTGGAAGCAACAGTTTTGCGCCCAACTCCACAGTCAAGTGCTTTGCTCTGTGTGCTGAGCCGTGGACACCACAGAAACATATTTGGGGCACGTAAAACGAACGCACATGATGCGATAAGTTTTCGAATTCGTGTCTACATTCAATTCAATTCCAACCGCAATAAAAGTTGCCCTCGAGTAAATACGAGTTATGAACAATCTTTGTAATGCAATGCCAGCTAATCCTTCACTTGCTTTCTAGATGAGCTCTATTCTATGTGTTTATTTTAGGTATATATTCAGCAGGGAGTCGGCAAACAGTGTGTGGCTATTAAATTCAGTTGTGCGGCAGCAAATATGTTCGTTTATATCTGAAAAGGAAAATTTAAGAAAACTGCCTATGTAATTCCAAACACGTTCATAAAATACACATAAACGTGAGAAAGGTATATATTTTCGTTGACAGGCAAAAGTTTTTCAATATGAAGCACAACCAATGCACGTCCTAATAAATTACATCAGAAAGACACACGGCGAAGCAGTCGGAATGATAAAGTTGCCATAAACGTATTCCAATAGGCCGGAATAAAGATTCGCAATAAACCAATTTAATGCAATTAAATTTTAAAAGCAAAAAATATATAACATATGCTAGTTTGCATGGGAATAAGCGTAAAGAAAGTTAGAGTTGTTAAATATATATTTTCTTATTTTATATCATAACATTTAAAACAAAACTCTGAATAATTGTCAAAAAAATTTAAAAATTTAAAGAAGTAAATAAATAGAAATAATGACTTACAATAGTTTAACTTTGATATCGAAACCAATTTGATGCTTAGGTTAAATGCGTATCAGGCAAATGAATTTACAATGCATTCCCAATGCTGTTCTAAGAGCCTTACAAGTAGCATCTTACAATATTCCGCGAACTACCACACTAATAGCCAATGATTATAATTCTCATTCTGTATATAATTCATTCATAAAATACGCAAGCAGCAAGGGCCCGGCGAGGCACGTACAATGTTGACAGCACAGTGGCGCGCACGTGGCGTCCCCGGCGCCAATGCCAGCCACTAACGACCCCCCCAACGGTGCTGAAAGACCACCACAGCGACGGTTTCCCCAGGCGCCAGGCAGTGAAAAAGGCAGCAGCTGAAAATTTCCCAAACAAAGCCAGGAATAATTTCCCACTGTTTGTTGGCCCAAAAGAGAGAGCGCGTTGAGAGAGCGTCGCACGTAAACGCCGAGCGACGATGTTGTTGTTGACGCCGGCGTCGACGGCGACTGCGAACGCAGCAGCGGCTGCCTTTCACTGGCTTTTCAGACTCAATGGACCAGTTTGGAAAATTCGCACAGTCAGTTTGTTTTAAAATTTTGCCGCGTTGCGTTCTAAGCGCTCAACTTGCCGACAAGCGAAGTGCAAAACTCATTTTTTCACAATATTTGCGCGCCAAATTTGAATATGCTTTGTAAAATATTTAAGTGTCATTTGTAAAAAAAATAAAAACAAAAATTAATAAAATCAAAATTTTGCCATAAAACAACCCAAAAGTTCTTTCAACAACTGCACATGCTACAAATAATATAGACGCCCCTTTAATATGCAAACACTTGCTGCTGAATAATTTAGTCAATTTTTAACGCCTCGCTTTGAGAAAAAAAATTATAAAACAAAAAAAAAAATAGTTGAATGTCATAATAGAAACTCGTGCGCGTTGTTAACAAAAGCTTCAGTCGCCGTTTAAAGTGAAAAATACAAAATTATAAAAGAAAAACAAATGGAGACGATGAAAAAGAGTAGCGAAAACAAATAATGACCGGCAGTGTTTAAGCCAGTTGACTCATAACGTCATTAAGATATATAAGTGCAAATATACATAAGTAGATATCAGTGCAATTTCTGTATGTATTTGTTTGTATAAGTAAACGTATGTATTCATAGTCAAAATGACAGGCTGAGTCGAAATTCGAAATTAGGTTCTAATGCACAACAGTCTTAAGGCCTTGAGAGGCTTATATGATGTTCCTCTTGAAATTGAATTCGAATTATTTAACTGCAATAGGAGCAATCGAGCGAATATCAAGCTGGTAAACTAATAGCTGAAACCGAGAATGATAAGCAGATTGCAGTATTTAAACCTTTGCCACCTCAAGAGCTTCTCGGTACACTGGGCTCAGTTCATAAACATATGAGGCTTGGCACCAAATAATTAACAAGTGGAGTGTGCTTAGCTTAACTTCAGTGAACGACACATGCTCAGGTTTTTAATCAAGCCAAAACAACACAATTACTAAATAAAAACAACATGAGTGCTCTAGTTGGGAGTGTCACACTAGGAGATACCCTAAACACAGCGCCGTGCTGCTGTTACACAGAAAGATGTCCACATTATACAGCGATTGTGCTTGTTCTTCCCTCAGTCGCACAATATGGAAGACGCTTTCCTGAACAAATTCAGTTTTTATAGTTTGTGTGAAATATTTAAGAGTTTTAATATTACAGACATCGGGGTGTCCCATAAGTTTGTGTACACTATGAGAGTTCAGTCTATGATATACGTGGATATATGTTTCAAATATCAAATCCTTCCTTAAAATATCATAGCTTCCGAGATAGAAACGCTTACACGGACGGACAGATAGACAGGCGGACATGGCTATATTGACTCAGCGCTTCGTCTTGATCAAGAATATACATACTTCTTGCTGTGGCTATTAAATATATTTGCTCATACCTATTATACTTTTTTTTACCCATTTGCAAAGAATACAGGGTATAAAAATATAAAACTGGCAACACTTGCCAATGGATATTAATTAAAAACTAACTGTGTGTGTGTGTGTGTGTGTGTGTTTGCATGTGTGCACGCGAGTGTGTTCACATAAATAAAAAGCAAATGGTGAATAAAAAAAACGAATCATGGCGATGTAAATAAGGTGTTCCGGACGGAAGCCGGCGGAAATCAAAGCAACGCCTGCCTAAAGTAAACTTCTTGGTGTCCTTCACGCAGCTCGCACCGCTCCACTCTGCTTCCCTCCGCTCCGCTCACTCCGCTTCCGCTGCTCACCCCGACCGCTGCTGATTACGTAATTACATGAATGTTAATTTTTTGTGCTGGCTTTGTTTTGCCAGTGGCAGCGGCAAGGGAGCGGTACATGCATATATCAGCAGAGTCACGAACAATTAAGGAAAGGCAAACAGAGCGAGCATAAAATGATGAAAGAAGTTCCGTCTTAAATGCGGCAGGAAATGACACGAAAGCCTGGCAGCGAACGCAGTAAATATTTGTGAAGCAGGTGCGTGTTAAGGACATTTGTGTCCAAATATGTTATTACTGGCCATATTTAATTATTAGAGCGAATTGAAAATGCCATCAAACTTAAATTATATTCGAGGATATCCAAACGGGTTGGCTGCGCAAAGCAAACTCTAAAATAAGTCAACTGTCCGCCCAAACGCAGCTCACTCTGGCAGACGCAGATGTCAGACAGAGATTTATTACCGAAAAGCCGAGACCGAAGCCCAAAGGCTACCTTTTTAATGTGCTCGCACGTTTTCATTGGACTTGAGGTTTTTGGGTTTTCCCCAAGTCGTATATATTCTTTAAAGCTCTGTCAGGAAATTAAACTATTAAGCTTTCTTGATGTGCATAAACTTTTAATGGCACCTGAAAGGTGTTGGGGAAATTATGTTGTACTATCTGTGCCAGCTCTGCCCTTACTGGTCTGTCATTTAGGCAAAACAAAACCATTTACTTCCCCTCCGGACTCGGGCATAGACCAAGTCCTGCGATAAGCGAGGCCAGTAAAAGTTTAGTGGCAAATCAACATAAAATGCCGTTGATTACCTCAAGTTTTTCAGCCCAACTGCTAAGCTGTTTAAGTGCTGTCAGCAACAGGCATAGAAGTTGCAGCAGTTTGTGCCACAAGTGTCGACAGCAGGAACTGAAAATCGTTTCGTCTGAGGTCACAGAGAAACTAGCAAAATTGTTTTTCAGCTTTTGTGGTAATTATGTTTCTTAGTATATCGTAACTTTCTTTATAGCATTCATTTTAATATGGAATTCAAGCAGATACAAAAAATGTAGTTAACCGCCCTTAATTTTCAATATAAGAAAAATATTTCATCATACTTGAAAATAGTTATAGTTCTTGGTTAATTTTTCGCATTTGTAAATAATTAAAAAAAACTGAGAGCCTTCTCGATCTCGTGGCTCGTAAATATTCTTTGGGCAGCATCAAAAATAGTTAAGTTTATGGGGACAGACATAAAATACAAAAATATTAACAAAGCATGCAATCGGTCGCTAAAATAATCAAAAAAAAAAAAAAAAAATTAATCTAAAGCTATCTGCGACACATGCATATTTAATAACCTTATAGACATATGACATAATTTTCCGGATACACATGTTGGAATTTTTTCGTGAAGATATATTTAAAAAAAATCAGAACAATTTTTATTCTAAAACTTATTTTTCACCTGTTCCTATATAGTTTATGATGTCGCAGATGTCGCCTATTCTTTGTTGAAATATTATAATACCCTCTGCAAGAGTAAGGAATTGCGGTCACAAAGCTAGTGACTGACCGACAAACAAAACCAATACACACGTATTTCACCTCAAAACAGGGTATTAAAAATTTAATTGTTCTGAACAAGAGAGGAAATGCGCTGAGCGTTGTTGGCTGGGTGTATGCAATTATCTTAATGTGTTTTTGGATGTACACTTAAGTTATATGTAAGATATATAAGAACTTCCATGCCCAATTGATATATGGAAGTATATAGCTTAGGTAGAACACATTTGCTGAGAACGAAAAGTTATACCAGATTTATTTTGTCGTTTATTTTTTTTTTTACCCATTTTTCAATGGGTATAGAGGGTATAATGGTTTTGTGCAAATGTATGGAACAGGCAGAAGGAAGAATGCTCGAGTCGATGAAGTATATATATTCTAAAGAAAAATATTTTGTTGAGTATAATACGCAGAATATGTATTCCGCCCAAAAATGTAAATATATATAATTTTGAAAAATTAGATTCATCCTCTTTGGCTTATTCACACATTTGTAAGCCATATTTAAGCCATGAAAGTTTTATAAAGTTTGCACTATAAGCACCGAAGCTATTCTAGACAGCATTACACGTAGGAAAAATGGGAACAAGAAGCGCAGGGTATTTCTTAGTCGGGTGTTTCCGACCAAAATATAGAAAATGTGCTTGTAAAAATCTTAAAAATTATTTTAAATTTGATGTGTGCATACATGATGATTGTTAAAGCTAAATCCTATTTTGTTTTGGCATTGTCCAAAACCTCAAATCGAAATGTTGTATCCAAATTTAGACTTTCGTGTACAATTAATTAAATTCAGCGCACTTAATATTTTATTCACATACAAGACAATAAAATGTTTGGAATATTTTGAACATCCAATCATCGTTGTGCTAAGTGTAGCGTGCAATAAGCAAAAATAAATAAACTCAAGCATTTATCATGGGCTTTATTCAATTTTATTTATTTATAGGCCACATATGTAGATTAATGTATCTACGGAACGGATGTTCGCATAAGTATAACCAACAACAATTGGAAATGCGCCATGGGCCATATTGCATTAAATTTAATTCATTCGTGGCGCCTAGTCCAGAGACGTCCATAATGGTAATCGCCCAAATGTGAACTAGTCAATCTTTCAATTTCACAGCATTGCATAGATTTAAGGCTGAACACTATCAAGTTTGAAGTCGAGCCAATCAACGCTGACGCGTAAACAACACCAAATGAAAACAAATACATGCTGTAAATTGTGAGGAAAAACCAAAGAAAAAAACACACACAAAAATGCTGAAAATGCTGAAAATGCTCAGATGTTGAAGTCTAGAGGCAAGAACAACTTGTTGGGCTATTCAGTTTACTCTCTGATGGTTGAAATTAATCGTCTTTGCAATTGACTTTGAGCAATTGTGCGAATTCCGATGCCACTTTGGCGATAAGATCTTCGACAATCTCTGACTTAAAGAAGTAAATAAATATTCAAAATTGATAAATATTTATTTATTAGCTCTAGGATGTCTGGCGTTGAGTTTGTGTTTAGCTGATGGCTTTTTGTTTAATTGACTGTCGTAAATGTGTTTCACAATTATTATAAATACTATTTAATAATTTAGCTTTTAGATCTTTGACAAATTGTGGTCTTCGGGCATGTAAATGGCTAATAAATATCGACAAGCCATAAATACTATTTATTTTCAACAGTGGTCAGCTAATTGAGCACGACAAACCCGCCCCCTCAGCCAGCATTGAAGTGACCTGTCGTGACTTACGATGAGCCATTCGCAAATGTGCCCCATGACGATTCTCTCGTTCGCAGTCGCCCGCATTTATCGGGCCACTTGACGCACAAACAAACATCTCGGCCAGTCGGTTTATGCACATTTTATAATAGATATATTCGTGTTTATTTAAATATATCTTTTGTTGCTCAATTACTGTAGATGTTGTTGTAATTGTTCTTACTATGCGTACAGTGGCCATCGCAACGGCCATCAAACATTTTGTTTTAATTTTTTGCCTGTGCAAATATGCAAAATGATTGACAGCACAATTAAGATACCGGCACTGAGCACACAGGTAACGGAATATTTAAATAAAAGTGGGACGGAGGGAGGTCCCATGCCAGCTACTGCCTTATATGGCTGCAAATTTCTATAGCTATGCAGAGCACACAATAGACAAAAGACAGCTGATGTAGAACAATAAAAAAAGTTTAATATCAATTATTTTTAATCAGCATTTCAAGTTTTTAATTATTTATTTTTATATTTTGCTCAATTTTTTCAATTTATATTTTATATTAAATATGTTAAATCATAAATACCTATGTTTATTATAACGATTTTTATCATAACCAAAACCTGATACGGAGTCAATTATCTGAAAAGCTATCAAAACATTTTGAAAATTCTAAGTTTATTTACAATTAAAAACTTTTCAATGCAGCATAAATATTGCAGCTAAATTTTGTTTGGGCAAAATGTCCGTTCTGAACTTTTGACCAATTTCCACATATTATTATTTTTAGCTATGTAAACTTATCTAAATCAACAATTTTCACTTCTAACTTAATAGACATTTATTACATTCCTTTCGACCTATAATTTCAATATTTCCTTATATTTAAAATTGTTCTTCTTGACTGTGGTGGTTAAAATGTTGTGAACAGATTCGTTTCCAAGAATCTTTATGAAAATTAATTTAAGACGTGTTTCATAGTTTTGCTCAGATTCCAGCTCCCTGGGTGAAAGTGGGGTCAAAGCTTGTATGGGCGAAGATTCTAGCAATCGGCATTAAACATATTTTCAAAAGGTCTAGATAAGAACTTTATATATATTCCGGCCTGAGATTTTGGAATTCCAGTCACATTCACAGTTGCGGACAAATCAAGATTCTCAGCACGGGACTAATATGTGCTGAAAACTTTGATTTAAGCTCTTGGTTTCTAATTCGAAAGACTCCAAATAATATATAGTTGCTTAACATATGAAGCGAAAAACTTGAGCCGACCAAGACCGGGGATTCCAGCTAGTTACAAATATTCTAGAGTAAATATTATTTATGGTACGATTGTAATAGTTGTCGATGCCAAATCGAAAGTAAATATATCATTTAACAAACAGTTTGTGACAAGCTAATTGCCCGAATTACTCCATTAATTATTGTAATATCAATTTGATTGCTTAACAATGTAAATCATAGAAATATCTACAACTTTACGTACAGCCATAAATCAAATCACTTTGTTTAATTTATTACTTTCGTATGCGTAATACTTGTTACTTTCAATTCTGGCGATAAATTGGACTAATCTAGGCTGTATATTTTCTATGCATGCTTATTTGCTTGCCTTTGGTTGAATTTTTGTTAGCCTTGGCTGTTTGCCAGAAAAAAAGGAACATAAACATAACGTAAATGACAAAACAGAATATAAACACGTGCCTATTTTGCAGTAATACATAACGTATGAGTAATATTGCTATATGGCCTATTATAAATATGGTAAATTACGAGTAGATTTCAGATTTATTCCCCGCGAAGTAATAATAATAATAATAGTCAAAATATTTAAAATAAATGTTATGCATTTGATACATAAAGCGACAGTGGCTAAAAATTTTGGCTACGAGTATATTATTCTGCTTCTTATATATATTTAGTGCATTTTACTATAAATATATCTTAATATATGGGCTTTATAAATATAAGTAACATGCTACACTTTGCCAATATTTAAA